AAAAAAAAAAAATAATAAAGATTCATAGTCATGTTACTCCGAATTATTTTTATTGAATTCCATAATTCCTAACATCTCGTTTCTTATACCTCATCCTTAATTATACACAATCTTCCTTTAAAAGTCGGTGTTTATCTATAAATACTTCAAATCCTATACGTTTGTTCGTCCCAATCTCAGCCTTAATCTTCTGTAAAAATGGATCCTTATCCCGTGCTTCTTTTGTTTCAATCTTGAAAAGTAGGTTGAATTATAAACGCTTTTATTTTTGTTGTAGTCCGGGTCGTTGGCGTGATGACCTTTAATCTCAGTTTCTCAAAGTTCTTTATCAAGCATTCCTGCACCGTGGGTGGAACTACTAACTGCGATCCGGTCTTCTTGCTTAAGGCATCTACAACAACATTAGCCTTATCCGAATGATAAATGATGGTACAGTAATAATCTTTCACTAACTCCAACCATCTCCTCTGTCTCATATTCTGTTCATTCTATATGAACAAGTATTTGAGACTTTTGTGATCTGTATAGATTTCAAGCTTTTCACTATAGAGATAATGACGACATATCTTTAAGACGTGAACTACCGCTACGAGCTCCAAGTCATACATTGAATAGTTCTGTTCATACTACTTCAACTGTCTAGAGGCATAATCAACCACTTTTCCATATTGCATCATAATACAACCCAAACCTTGCTTGGAAGCATCGCCATAAATTACAAACCCATTTGAACCCTTAGGTATCGTCAATACAGGAGCTGAGACTAATCTTGGCTTGAGTTCCTGAAAACATTTTTCACATTTTTTCGTCCACTGAAACTTTACATCCTTCTTAATCAGCGAGTCATCAGCCTCCACTATTTTTGAGAAACCTTCAATAAATCTCCTATAATAGCGAGTCAACCCCAAAAAACTGCAAACTTTACCCACACTAGTCAGTCTAGGCCAATTTGTTACGACTTCTACTTTAGCTGGGTCTACCTCGAGACCCTGAGCAGTAACCACATGACCAAAAAATCCACTCAATTGAGCCGAAATTAGCACTTCTTGAATTTGGAATATCGTTTTTATCTTTACTCAACATTTGGAGTACTACTCGGAGTTGTTCTTCATGTTACTTCGTATCTTTGGAGTACACAAATATGTTGTCAATGAATACTATGATGAGCTGGTCTAAGTACTAATGAAACACTCGGTTCATTTGGTCCATAAATATAGCTGGAACATTGATCAACCCAAAAGGCATGACA